TTCAATGGGAGCAAGATTTAAGAAGGAATTATAAAGAAGCATACACAGTGCACTTGCTTGAACACAAGAAGCCTGAAATATATCTCAGAATTGCCAAGGAACGGAGGTTCTGTCAATCCACAAGGAATATAACCATTAATATTGGAATTTTAACAAGGAAGAGGAGGGTGCAAAGTACAACTGGTAAAATAGCAGTAAGAGGGAAGGAGGCCTTCCTTGTGCATATAATATGTGAAATTTCTGATCTGATGCAACATTATTGTCACTTTTAGAGCCATTTGCTCTAAAAATAATACTGTAAAGGTCTATATTTTAGAGCAGAATTCCCTTCTAGTAGGGAATGATAGCTATGTATTGATATGTGTTCCATACCAATTCTTGGAAATGAATCTGTGTTGAAATTTTAGCAATATTTTAATTTGGATATTGTTAGATTAATAAGATAGTTTTACAAATAAGCAGACACATGCTAATGTGCTTGGTTCGAATTTCAGATTTACAATTTAAATCTGTAAAATAAATCTGTTCAATACCACAACACGTTTTTAACACTTGAAAACTCTTATTCAGTTTATACTGCATTCCTATATTTGTAGAAGACAATTTTAATTTCAGCACAATGGTGGAGTGCAAACTTTGCATGCAAAAGGCTCTAGGTTTGGTTCAGCACATTTCTAGGTAGGGCTTGGGAAAAGACTCCAGTCTGAAATTCTGGAGATGCTATTAGTTGTTCAATGTAAATCAAGCTTTTCATGTTCAACAGATGGAAGGTTGAGGATAAGAAATGATCATATGATTAACCCAACATGGTATCTGGTTTTAAGCCAAGTGCAGCCGAATCAGCCTTGTTACAGTCTTCCTTAATGTGGGCATCCTCTGTGGAATTGCAGACTGGAGGGTTCTGGAAATTGAAGTCCACACATCTGCCCAGATTAGGGAACACTAGAATGCATCCATCCCCTGAGCTGACATATGGACCAAATTTGCATCATTCTCTCATTCTGTTTTTTCTACACCTCTCCTGTGCATCTTTTTCTCTTCTTCACTCCTCTCATACCTCATACCTCCTTTCCTCTCCCCTCTGCAGAAAGTTGGCGGAGGCATCCGGCAGTGGAAGCGGGCCTTTGCTGTTCTGCGTGCACACTCGCTCTACTTATGCAAGGACAGGCGGGAGGCTGTGGCCATTGCCCCGCCCCCAGGTGAGGAGGAGCAGCCACCAATCAGCATCCGAGCGTGCCTGGTAGACATCTCCTACAGTGACACCAAGAGGAAGCACGTCTTCCGGCTGACGACCGCTGACTTCTGTGAATGTCTCTTTCAGGCCGAGGACCGGGATGACATGCTGGCCTGGATTAAAGCCATCAGGGAGAGTAGCAAAGCCGAGGGCGAGGTGAGAAGTGGTGCTCCTGGTGGCTGGCTCTTCTGCCACTGGCTCTATAAATGCACCTTTGTTAGCAGTCCCATCCTTGCTTTCTCTTAGTTTATCGTCTACCCTTGGAAAGAATCCAACTCCAAATGCCTCATGTAGTTACTAGTTACTAATAGTTTATATGGCTAAGGACAGCCAAGGCTCTCCTGTAATATATCAGGATCTCTGGATACTTTCCAGCATTGCAACAGCTGAATGGAAATATGGTAGGGATTGTGAACATGAAGCCTGCAGAGGCTGCTGAACTACAATCCCCAAAGCTCCAAAAAGAATAGCCAATGGTTGCTGGAGCATATCCTAAAGCAACCTTTGTAAGGTCATGGTTTGTGTGCATGTAGCTTCTTTGGATTGAATGTTGTCAATTTCACAAGTTCCAATCCCAGTTCCTGGGTTCTATTCTACTGTAGAATTTCTGGTGGAAGCTCCAGTTGGTTTATTATGGTGATCTCTGCTGGTCAGCTGACCAAATTAAGGTGCTGTTTTCAGTCCTTAGACTGCAGGGTAGAATTTGCAGGCATCTCCTCTCCTACAATACTAAATAGTTTCCTCCCTGTATGTAGGAACATAGGTTCTAGCCTAGTTTACTATATAAAGAACAGAGTGACTGTTGGAACTGTCAGGAGTTTTTCATCAGTAATTCTAAAAAGTGTTTTGATTGTATTTTAACTTATCCAAGAGAGTTGGCAAAAAGAGTCAAGCAGAAAAAAACTAACTGAACTCGTTGGTCTTTGAAATGGGAGTTACCTGGATTCTCATATCCTTTGTCTGTTTTTCTCCCTTCCCTTCTGTATTCTATTTTTTTTTATCACCAGGACCCTGGGTTTGCAAGCCAAGCACTGATTAATAAGAAACTAAACGATTACCGAAAAGTGAGGTAAGTTACTTACCATCTTATTATCTTTCTCTTTGGAATTTGCCCCTCTTTCTAGCAAAAATTGAATTTCATATTTCTGAGTTGATAAATCTGAATCTGGTCTATTCCATTTGAGTTCAGGATGCTGAATACTCTTTCATTAAAAAATATTGCCATATGCATAGAAAACAAATGTTTGTTAGGGTGTAGCTGGAGCCCTTCTCAATCTGATCTATAGGTGTTTTTAAGATTCAGGGATTTGTTTTCTAGAGACAGAACATTTTATTGGTTATATTAATCCCACTTCGTAACTGAAGTTACCAAACAACTTACTCCTTACCACTTCAGGACTCAGTCTCGGTTTGTGAATTTATTTCAGGAAACTGAAAAATTAGAGAAGAGAATGCTATGTATGCCACCTTTAATTATTTAAAACGTGGGTTCAGGAAATCTCATATATTACCATTTTCAAATAATAACAGTTTATAACCTAGTCAATACCTGGATGAAAGTCAGTTTGTGAAGGAACTCTGGATACAGTGATCTAAGCACCTTAGTATATACAAGCATGATACATAACTTTTTGCAACCTTTTTGCAAATAGACAGCATCTTGGGGAGGGATGTCTCAGCCTATAGGTTCCAGGCTTCTATTTGCTCCTGCTTTGTATCTCTTTTTATTTACGGTCTGAACTTCATGTATGAATAGCAGTCAGGGACAAATTAAAAAACACACATGGAATAATAACACTGCACTTGTGGAGATAAAAAACTGAAGCCACTTCTGTAATCTCTGCTCCCAGTCTTGACAGGATAACTCTGATTTCTGTATTGGTACTCCCAGACTGCACTTCATTTCTTCCAGTTTTGCCATCAAATCAAAGAGAGCCTTGAAAAACAAAGCTCTCTTTGTACATGTATGATGGGTTACTCCTGAGCTTTGAAGTAATTTCTTGCATGGTCCTTTTTCCTTTCAGCTCCTCTGGGACCAAACCAGACTCTTCCCCCAAAGGTCTTCGAGTATCAGGGATGAAGTTAGAAGGGCAGAAGCAGATGGGAATAGCTCCACCCTGTTCCCCACGCCAGGATGCAGTAACAGTAAAAGGTATGGAAGGCTTGCACAATTGCTGCAGGAGGGGGGTGCCATGAGAAATTGTCTATCTTGCCAGTTACTATATAGACCCACTTTTCCACATGACACCATCTAAATGTGCTAAACTACAGCTCCCATTATCCCAAGCCAACACACATTTTTTATATTTTGTGCTCTGATCCTGCTTCCTAATTTCCTAATCTTCCTAATCTTGTTATAAAATGACTTATTTCAATTAATCTATTACTATGTGTCCCACCTTTGTTCTTAAAGTAGCTACCAAATTTTGTTTATGAAACAAGAAACAATTAAGACTATTGATCCAAAGCCAGAGTGATATCATAATGGACTCTGTTGGGGACTTGGAGTCCTATTCAGCCAGGGACTCACTTGATGACCTCAGGGGATCAGATGCATTTCTTATCTGCCTTTTTTGTGAATTTATTTTTTTTAAGTTTTCTTAGGAGTGACATAAAAAAAAAAAGAATGCATAACATAGATTTCCTAATGATAGCTTCAATTAATAATGTTCCAAAAAGCACCCTGTTACTACACACTTTTCTTCCCATCTGAATCTGTTCCATAAAGATGGGTTCAAATACATACATATTCATAGGATGACTTGTAGCAACCATTGGAGACCAAGCAGGATACAGTGGATTTGGCTGGTTTGACTGAGGTGCCTGCATGCACATTAGAATCTGACATCAAGAGATAAGGTTGGCAGAGACCAAGCGATAAAGCCTTTCTCAAGGTGTTTTCCAAATATGGAATTTAAAAGCATTTTTATTTTCCACTTTTTAGAAATGGTTTTCTGGCTTGACATACTTTTTAAATTGGTTTTAAAATTGTTTTTCATTTTAATATCTGATTTGAGTATATTTTGATATATTAAGGTTTTTTTTTTCATTTGTCATAATTCTGGAATTCATATCCTCCAAATGGCAGGTTATGAATTCTATAAAATAAAATGCTATTTCTTTCTCCTATTATTCCTCCTCATAATCTCTGGATTGCCTAATTTCTTCTTCTATCAATACTTCTGCTCTATTTTCCCCTTTCCTATTTTGATGTCTTCTGCCCTGTTGGATTCTCTGCCCCAAAATGTTCATCCTTAACCTGCTCACATCACAGGAACACAATAAAGAAATCTTATCCTTTTCCTGTTGAACACATTTTTATAAACCTGACCTTAAATACATCTTTGGCTGGCCTGTTTACATCAGATACAATCTGCTGCTTTAATTTTTCTTTCCTATTTCCACTTCTTAGTCAACGGACTTCTCTTTTTCTCTTTCCCCCACCTCTGTCCAGATGACATTGTTCCTCAGAAAGCCCCTTGGGGCATCAACTTAATGAAGAAGAGCAAGAAACCTGCTCCAAGGGCTTTTGGTATAAGGCTAGAAGACTGCCAGCCAGCTCCTGACAAGGTAGTCTCTTTTCCATTGCTCTGGATCATTTTTTCTGCATAAGAAAAACAGTGTCTTGGGAACTTGGTTAAGGGAAAACTGTTATCACTTCAACATGTCCTATAATCTGCCATATGATCTATTTGGTGCATCTTCTGCTTAGAACCTAATTACAGCACAGCGTGTTTTCTTGGGTTAGTAAGCATGTGTAAGCAAGTGTATGCAGAGAAAGAGTATGTTGAGTTTGGAAATGGGGAAGGGCAGATAAGGAAACTGGGTTTTGACCTAATGGGAAGAACTGGATTGCTTAGATATAGTGTTACTTCTTGAGGACTGGGTCATATATCCACATAACATGCTCCTAGATAAGAAAGATGGAACATAGTGCCAGCAAGATTAATATGGTTTGAGATTGGACTGGAGCATAATATTGTTTGTGGTTTTTTTTGAAATGTGAAACTCATTCCTGATTCTCATCCCCACTTAAAAGACAAATATCCAAACTTTGAACATGGAGATTTCATCAGTGGTCAGATCTGGAAGGAGCTCCAGAGTATGTGGATTTAAGTTCTGGTGAAAGGAGTGTACCTGAAACTCAAAAGTTAATATATTGTTGTATCTTTGGGGCTAGACAGCTGGTTCAGGCTTCAAAGTGCTTCTGCCCCACAGAAATGGATGTTGCATTTTTAAGGCATCCAACCCAGTTGCCGTTATCTCCATCATCTTGTCTTCCACAGAAAGTCCCCCTGATTGTGGAAGCCTGCTGCAAGGTAGTGGAAGACAAAGGTTTGGAATACATGGGCATCTATCGAGTCCCAGGAAACAATGCTGTGGTATCCAGCCTACAAGAACAACTAAACAAAGGGGCTGCAGAAATCAATTTGCAAGATGAGGTAAGAATAGGGCTACTCAGCTCACAGCCTGCTTTCTTCACTTCTGTGGAAAAATACCTCCAACCTATTAGGCAGTACTGACACCTAGCTGTCATTTGCTTGTAGTACACGTGTTTGCATATGCAGGCATGTATATGTACTGCACTGGGTTAATTGTAGAGCAGATCCGGTGCCAGTCCCCAAGTTTAAATTTGCCCTTTCTATCAGAAGACACATGAAACAGTTTTATAATAGTTAATACATTTAAGATATCTTATGTGATATCCTGATTCTGATTTGAGCTTAACCATTCTCTTAGGCAGATTGTTGTGTGAATTCACCAGCTATGTGAATTATTTGTCCAGAGCATGGTGTGTTTATTGCTATGTTATTTGTACTTTGATGTTTTTAACCCTTTTAAGCCACCCAGACTCACTTGATGAGTGGGTGGCCTTAAAACTGAATTAATATGCATATTAATAACATGTCTTATCTTGTCTTAGGCAAGCTATCCTTCCTGTCAATCTTAACCTCATTATTAATAGTGTGAAGAAAATCTCACTTCCCTATGGTTAGGAGTTATTCCAAGGATAATAAAAAGCAAATGTATCTGAATTATTTTGAACACTTTAAAGCAGCATTGCCTAACATTTTGCACTCCAGATGTGCTGGACTGCAACTTTCATCTCTCCAGGCAGCTGGGCAACAGGAGTTCTTGCTGAGAACAATGGAAGGTTACAGTCTAACACATCTGGATGACACAAGGTTAGGGAAGCCTGATGTAAAGACATTTAGGAAAATATAAATATCATTATTCCTTCTATTAGTGAAGAAGATGTCTTGTGTGCAGACCCAGGAGAAAGTAGGATATCGGTCTTTTTTAGTAGAAGACCACCAATGTACTTGCAGTTGCAGATACAAAAATGCAACTTCCTATCATAATTTGCCAATCTGATTAGAAATAAGTAGATGAAGCCAGTGGAGAATGTTGGTTGCTGTGACCTTGGTCACTTGCCTTCTTTAAAAATCTTGGAGAAATCAACAGTGCAGTTTTTAGAAAATTATTTGATCTCACATGGCTTACAGTGTTTGGGAAATATAAAATGTTTTATGTAACAATAAATGAAAATTAAAATTGAAATAAGTATCATAGAAACATAATTGTAAAGGAGTAAACACTCTCTCCATTCTCCACCTCCAGAGATGGCAAGATTTGAATGTCATTTGCAGCCTCTTGAAATCCTTCTTCCGGAAGCTCCCAGAGCCACTGTTTACCGATGGTGAGTAATGGTGGCTTACTATTCCTTGGCGGTTTTACCAGTAAGGATAACAACATGATTCTTCCCAGAAATTCAGATGGGAAATATTAACCTTTGGTTTTGAGAGGGGCCCCATATGATCCTTTTCTGGTTGATTAAATTGGTTTAGGAGCATGGTTTCTCTCTTGCCCAAGCCAACAGCTGCTAAATCACACTTGTCTAAGAAGTGTAGAAACTAGTGTTACAAAATCACTCAGGGTTCAGCTTCCTTCCATTTTTCAAGGACTGATAGAAAAGGAATTGATTCAGGCTTTTAGAGTTCCAACTGGAACGTGGGTTGTGGCAAGTCGGAAGATCTCTGGTGGCTTGCTATTGTTTTTCACTTCTCACAGCTGCACACTGCATGCTGCAACTGTGGCCACAGCATGATGATATTGCAGTGATGTGTGCTCAGGTAATGACTGTCTCATCATCTGATTATTTCAGAAGAAGAGGGAAAGCAGAAAAGAATGTCTCAGGTGGTTGTGGCACAGTCAGGGGTTGATAAAAACATAGATTCTAACAAGACATCAAGAAGGGAAGGTGATTTCTTCCACCTCCTGGAATTCTTTATGTAATTCTTTTGCTGCCTGCAAAAAAGTAGAAAAAAAATCTATTTTCTTTCACAGGAAGTAAAGAATTTCCGAATGTAGATCCCTAAGCTGGCCTGGGTTTAGCAGAGAGAGAGAGAGAGAGAGAGGGTAGTTTAATTTTAGAGGGAAGAGCTCAAATCTTTTTAGCTAGGCAAGTTGCAAAGTTCTCAGGAAGGCTGCTAGACTTGTCTTCAATTTTTTTCAAATTCCTGCAGTTGACGGAAGTTTAGACCCCCCTTGTCTTTCTCCAAACCCAGTATCACTGAAATATTCCCAATTCATCTTCTGTCTCCATGTCTCAAAATAATCTCCTGCGTTCTCTGACCTTTTCGGATCTACTCACTGCAACCTCTAAATGAGGTTTTGTTAAGAAAAGAAGCTGCATGTTCCTTATGTTCAAGGAAACACCAGCTAGATGCTTCAGTTGGTAAAAATGGTTTAGACTTTAGTCCACTGCTCACATGACAGTACCTGTTCATTTCACTGGCTTCCTGTTTGCATCAGGTCAGGGATGAAAATGGCTGACTGTAGGTTTTAAAACAGGGTACATCATGTTTTTTTGGGCTGGGAATAGCATGAGGCCTTTGAAGGAGTGATGGGGGAATACACTCCATTATTTGGATGCAGTCATGGAAAAGAATAGGATATGGCAAGAACAAAATCTAATTTCTAAATAACAAAGAAGCAGTTACCTTAAGGAAAATAGCTTTTCCTTTCAGATGTGTCCCCATCTGAAGGATGGGGGTTCACAGGCCCCATCACTCACAGCTAACTGATGATTTGGCAAGATAACCCTGATCTATTTCTTTATCCCATTTTTCTTTTGGAAGGCATTTAAAGTCACACCTGACATTTCAGAAATTTGCTTATGTATATATTTTTTTTATAAACTGTAGTTGTTAATGGCTATGATGAGAGTGAATGTTGCATTCCTCACATTTACAGTCAAGGATTTTCCTAGCTATTCTTACCACTTAAATCTAACACAGAAATTAATTATACCTTAGCAGCTCTAGATACCTTAGAGATGCCAATCCCAAGGCCGAAATTAGATTGTAGAAATGAATTGTCTTTCAAGACATATTTTGAATCTCATTCTCAATCTTTTGTACAACTCATTTTTTGTTTGTTTGTTCTAAGATGGTACTACAAATCACAAATGTAACTTTGTTTTTCTTTTTAAAGATAAATACAATGACTTTATTGAAGCCAACCGGATTGAAGATGCCAGCGAAAGGATGAAGACCTTACGCAAACTGGTATGCCCCTGGAAGTTCCTGCTGGCTCTTTCCTTGCTGAGATATATGGGGAAATATGCACATCTGGCCTCTGCTTTGGTTGGGAAGGCTGTAGTTCAGTGATAGAACACTTGTTCTTGGTTGAGGTTGGGGAGTATCCAGATGAGACTGGACAGGATGATTGAGCCTATCCTGTATGCTTTCTGCACTCCGACAAGAAGCAGTCTTCACAATGAAAAGCAACATTTCCTTTTATGCCAAAGATTCAGTCTCTGGCATCTCTAGCTGGCCAGAGATAGACTCCTATCTAAACTCTTTTTGAGCCACTGAAGATTATATTGAACTTAATATATCTAGGCAGTGAGTGCAACTTGGCAGTGAGTGGCTGACAATGTATCAGCTTCATTGAACACAACTAGACCATAGAAGACTCGCTTTGAGTCCTGATGTTGTCTCACAGTTTGCAAGGCACTGTAGAGAATGACCCAGATTGTTCAATTGTGTTATTTTGTGTAAGATATTTAACCTTGAACTTACTAGAGAGAAAAGACATACAAATCAGTATCCTGTAGTAGAGGGCATTATGGGTTTGTAATATGCTCACTTGTTGCAGATCTATATTCTGGCTCTTCTGTTGTGTGCATCATTGCCAGGCATGCTTCCCCTTCCCTCCTCTCCTCTTTTCCCCTATATTAACCCCCACTGTGCCATTGCTGCTAGCCTGGCAGTTCCTTTACCTGTCTTTTGGAGATTCTGTACTTTATTCTCTTAAGAACTTAAGAACATGAAGCATTCTTCATTCAGTTTGAAAGCCATCTTGGTAACTAATTTAAAACAAGCCTGGGGTGGAAATGTCACACAGTATTAATGCAAGGAGTAGTGGGCAGTATTAAGGCAAGAAAAACATATTTTTCCTAAAGAATGGAGAACAAGTAATCTTTAGGAAAGGTTTTCCAACCTTATCATCGTGAAAGGCACATGAAGATAAGTATTATTGGTATGCTTTAAAAGTTAAGAGTAAACATATGGTGTGGAAGAATACTGGAACTCCAGAGCTGACATATTCTTATAGTACCATTTCTTTGGGGGAACAATTTGTGTGTCAATTATTTAAAAAGCAAATTTATGTAATGATCTTACAAAACTAAAATACAGAAGGGGAGAGAAATTGGAAGAGGATCCTGCAGCATTCATGAAAGATAGACGGACAAATAAATATTCCTGATTTTGGTTTTTTTTGTATTTCTTCCATCTCTGACTCAGATCCATGATTTGCCAGGCCATTATTATGAGACCCTCAAGTTCCTGGTGGAACACCTCAAGACAATTGCAGATCATTCTGAGAAGAATAAGGTAATGTTTGCTCATTATACCTGCCTTCCCTTCTCTACCAAGTGACATGTGTGCAATATGAACATTCAACTTCTTCATGGAAAGGAGGATTAAGGGAGTGCATGATCTGGGAAGTGGAATGTTGAGTTTGGCTATGGAATGTAGCTCTTCAAATGTCACTAAGGTTTTACCTGGGAACTCATCAGCTTTATCTTTCAAAACACTCTTCACCAACCTGGTTCTCTCCCCGAGTGTTAGACTAAAGGTCTCATGATTCCAGCCACTGAAACCATAATTACTGGGGATGATAGGCATAGCAGCCCAACACATCTGGAGTTCACCAGTGAAGAAAACTGTGCTAGTTCTATATCCAGTACTCCTGCAACGTATTCCCAGAAGAAAGGAAGGCTATGGGATTTGTGGATTATGGCTGGGAAAAGCAAAGAGAGCTCTTGCTTTATAATAGCACTGTGACATCATCTCTGCCTGGTGCAAATATAGGTGTTTGAATTCACTTGCTCCTTTTTATTAAAAAAAAGTATATCATGTCCTTCCATGTCCAAAGGACTCTCAGAAAAAAAAACAAAAAACCAGTAAGTTACATCTGGGAGAAACAAATTTCCCCCTCTCCCCCATCAGGAAGGCATAACTATTCGGTGAAGGAGATGAGTAAAAAACCAACATTATCTTTCCTTCTCTGCTAGTTTTTGTACATTATGAGCTTTCCACAAAAAATGTCAAGGATCATCTCTTGAATATCCATTACAGTGGATGGGAAACTTCTCCCAAGAATTTAACAGAAAGGTTTTTGCTTCAGTGGTAAGAATGGACAATTGTGCCTCAAGAGGAAATGTCTGTCCGTCCATCTTTCCTTTCTTGATTACTATCATAATTCAATTAGCTTCCTTTCCTTACAGAACTCTACGGAGAGATATCTGTAGTGAAAGGGCTGTATAAATAACAGACTTTTTAATCCCCACACATGATAGGAGAAGGTGGAAATGACTGGGCTAATTGCAACATCTCTTCTTGCAACAAGAACCCTGCTCTGCTTGTCTGTGACCTGCAGAATTTAGAAACTTGACTTCCCTAAGTTTAAAATTGCCCTTGAAGTGGGCTCTCTGCCATGTCCAATTCTCTGTGGACAAGGTGCATGAAGAGAATTAATATTTTCAAAGGGCTTTCTTAGGGCCCAAAGCAGAGAGGCTAATGTGACATAGATGCTTAGATAAGATGTATAACTTCACTCCACCCTTGCTGACAACTGTTCAACTTATAGAAACAAAAATGCAATGGATTGTATTGCAGATGGAGCCGCGGAATCTTGCCTTGGTATTTGGTCCCACTCTTGTTCGAACGTCGGAGGATAACATGACTGACATGGTGACGCATATGCCTGATCGCTATAAAATTGTGGAGACCCTCATACAGCACGTAAGGAGCAAGGAGGGTTTGGATCTAGAGGATACATAGTCTGATCCTATGTATCAGTAATTAGGCACATGAATTATTTTTAAAATTGCCTTCAGAGATCCTTTCTTGGTCAAATGTGGTGGACTAACCCTGAAAGAAGGTGCATTATTTCAATTTTGGGGATTATTTTGCTTGTTTTTGCAATAGTTCCAAGCAAATGATATTAATCTCCTTAATGTTTAGTTTTAATCATTTCTGTAATACTGCTCAAAATTATAATGTCCCCTAAACTTTATGAGTAATCAGCTGCCAAAGAGAAGAGAGAGAGAGAAAACGTTTCCTGTATTAATATTGACTAGAAAGGACTTAATACTGTTAGTCAAAAATTAACCTCAGTAATAGCTTTCCCCAGCCTGGGTGCCATCCAGATATATTGACATAGGTCCCAGATTTTTTAGCAGTGGCCCTGTTGGGTGGGAATTTTGGGAGTTGGGATAATCTGGAAGTATTCATCTGGAAGGTTCTCAGTCTGGGGAAGGTAGCTGTACAAAAGAGATGGGGAATATGTGATCCACTAGATATTACTGAATGACAACTACCAAAAGCCCTACCTGACATGGCCAAAGGGATGCTGGGATTTGTAATTCAGAAAACGCTGGACAGCCATGTTTTCCCCATTGCTACTTTAAATATATTCAGGGCATCAATAATACTAAAGAGTCAAAGGAGAAAAAAATATGAGAGACTTTAGTAGAACAGTAATTCTGCTAATTAGCAGCACCCAATTCTTTATTTAATAATGTGCAAACTCTTCATCTTGAATTGCAGCGCTCAGTTACAGGATTGATTGCAAATAGTTCAAATGATTTTTATTTTTAGATAATAATAAAAAACCTTTCTATTGTTTTAGAGTTGTAAAGATGCATGTGCATACTTCAGTAATCCCCTGGGATCTATAGGGCAGAGTAGCAAACTTGTTGCCTGTGCCTATGTGATCATGAGGTGCTTCTCATAAATAATGTATGGTATTTATATGCAACCTATTTCCACAGGAGGTTATGTTGATATACACCATTCTCTCCTCTTTTTATCCTTACACCAATCCTGCTAATGCATTAGACGGAGAGATAGTGACTGGCTCCAAATCCCTCAGTGAGCTTCATGGGTAAATGGAGATTTGAACTTGGATCTTCTTGGTCCTAGTCCAGCTCTCGTTATAGCTGGAAAGAGCCAATCATGCTCTGGTTTGGCATCTCCTCATCCTTTAGGCATGCACAAATTCTTGCCAAATAGATGACTTGGTAACTTCCTGCATTCAGAAGTTCAAGGAATGGTTCTGTAGATGGCTTATCCATTCTAAAATGTTCAACTCAATTTCATAAGCAGCGAACCTGTGCCAACGTGGCAGCTGCTGTTTGGATTGCCTAGTCTGCCATATTAGCATGTAAACATATGATCATCTCTAAATGAACATAAGCAGAAGACCACAGAGAGTGTCAAGGGTGCTCACCTTAAAATCATTGGAATATTTATAAATGTATCAACTGACACTCTAAGCTTCATATTTCTAATTTAGGCAGTATCGTGTATGACTTCACACAATGATTTAGAGCATATACTGTACATTATGCTGAATTAGCTCTTCAACATTAAGTCAGTGGTGGAATGAAGCATTGCACAAATCTTGCCACAGATTGAAGAGCAGAAATGGGCCTTTTATAGGGTGAAGTTAAGCATAGTAACAGAGTTTATTTGAAAGTGCCTTGATTCCCAAGCTAAACATAACTTTCCTTTTCTGGGAATCAAATCTTTGGGGGAAAACAATTATCAATGTTGCAATGTAAGATAGTGGGAGAGAGTACCAACTGGCAAATATGTGTCGTGTCACAAATATATTCCATCCCAAATTCTGAAAGCCATTTTGCAGAATTTTTAAAAAAATATTTCTAGCTTCTGAGGATATTTAATCTTAAAAAAAATTATATAGACAGGCAGCCTTCCCAGAGATGTAGCCCTCCCAGGGAGAAAGCATTTGGGTAGGTAATCCAGGGTTCAATTAATAGGCTATATCTCCCTCATGAAAAGTCAAAAGCCAGAAGAAATCTGGTTCAGAGGCCAACATTTGTACAGTAGGTAAAGAACCTGCTGTGATTTCCTTTAAAAGGTTTATCATTGAGGTTCTGTATATGTATGTACATATGTATATGTATACATATTTTTAATTTTATTTGGTGGATTTCACTATCTTCTCTGATTTCTCCCTTGTTTTTCTTTTCACAGTCAGACTGGTTTTTCAGTGACAAGGAGGAAAAAGGTGAAAAGGTAAGTGACCAAGAAGGAGGAAATGCTCAACTTATGGCTGGCTGCTGATTTCTCAGGGTGCAGAGAAATGCAAGATGTTGGTGTCCCTCTTGGACGTGACATGTAGGTGGTTTCTTCTGAGCTCTGCGGGTTGTTGAGAGTAAATCTCTCAACAAAGAAAGTCAGAGACCGCAACTACCTTTACACAGAGAGGGGAATTTGGCCCTCAAATTGTCTTTTCTCCCCAGCATTCTCTTTTACAAACACATGCATTCATAGACACATATACATATACAATCCCTTCATTATCCCTTCAAGTCAAACAGCCTTTGCAGGGTTTTAAAATACCATATGTACTTGCTGATGACCCTCAAATGTTTAACCAAAATACCATGAAAAATGTGCCACCCAAGGATAAGTTGACCCTCGAAATTTTTGTATGTTTAATTTTCACAGTTGGCTTATCTACAGGTAGCACATTTCTCATGGTATTTTGGTTAAAAATTTGAGGGTCGGTTTATTCGCAAAAATATATGGGTACTTTAAAAAAGTATTATGGAATATACTTGTGGATAAGCCCATCCATGGATAAGCTGAACTCAAGTTTTTGGGTGTATTTTGGGAGTTAAAATTCTCGTTTAATCTGCGAGTATACTGTCCACAGTAATCCAAAAATATGTGAAACCTATTTGCAGCATGCATATACTGTAACAAGTTACTATATTTCTTTGGAAACACATTTTGTGTTGATTTACTTAAAAAAACCATCTTCCGACTGTCTTACGACACAGTATTTAGTGCTAATACAGTTCATGTAATCTTGATAAGTGAACATGGTATAATTACTTTTAGAATCCTACCTGTCCTCTGACCCACCCAGCTTTCTTTAGATATCAGGTTCTCCACAGTCAGAAAATGGATTAGGAAATATACCCCACCAAGAGCTCTTCCTGACGGCTGTGTTAATACGCATTCCTCCCTGCCCCAATGGCCAAGCTCTATTCTGCCTCAGTGACCGGGATGACAGTTAACAGATTTACTGAGGCCGTTTTTACAGCTTTAATCTGGGCAACCACTGGTAGATTCCTCTCCCTCTCAGTGTCACCTGCTGGCAGAAAAAATTACCACCAATCGCTGATTGTAATATGCCTGGTCTTGGGTGACTCCAGGCCGTTGCCTGAGACAGATGCTTTAGCCAACTTTCAAGTTGACTGAGTGACAGATTGCCACCTCAGAAGTTATGGGTTGCTGAAGTGTCACTTGGGCTATTTCTGAACGCGGGTTTAACAATTTTCTGGGGGACTGCTAAACATATGTTCAAAAACACAGCCTGACTGACAGACTGAGGGAGTGTTGGTTGAAGCAGAATGGAGCAATGACCCACATCCCTCCCTTGTTCCACCAACCAGCTGGGCTATTTTGGCATATGAATTTATCAGTCATATTTTTATCTCATTTTTTTTTTAAAGTGGTCAACTCAAGGAGATGAACATAACTCCTGTCTCCTATTTACCCCATAGCAATGACCCTGTGAGGTGGTGAGAGAAAGTGACTGGCCCAAAGTCACCCAGCCAGCTTTCATGCCAAAAAGAGGCCTAGAACTCACAGTCTCCTGGTTTCTAGGCCAGCACCTTGACCACTAGATCAAACTGGCTCTCAGTTTAGCAGTTTTCCAGAAGATTGTTAGATTTGTTTCAGAAAAAGCTTGAGAAATAGATCACCAGCATGCTGGAAATGTTGTAACGGGCATTGGGTGATATTACTTCAGCTGCACCTTGTGGCCCTCCACTGTGCCTGTGGCCCCTCACTTGGGCTAAAAGGGGAAGCAGAAAAAACTCTTGTCAATTTTACCTCAGCTCCCATGTATAAGTATGTGCTCAAGGAAACGCTAGTGCTGGCAGTAAGGGGCCCTAACTGACAGCACCCAAAAGTAGCCCATGGAGTATATAAAGGCATTTGGAGTAGGCCAGTGTTGTCCAAACTTGGCCACTTTAAGATGAGTGGACTTCAACTCCCTGAATTCCCCA